ACTGTTAAAAATTCCAATTTGTATAAAGTTATAAAGGTATAATTTAAATTTTTTCATGAATACTTTTGCTCATTTGTAACTTTTGTTGTTGTTTGTTTGTTGTTGTTAATTTCTTATTATTTAGTTAGTTGATGATCTTGCGGCCAACGCTCCATTACAATTTTTGCTAAAAATTCTTACAGATTTTAATGAATTCTTGCATGCGTCAAGAGCTACAATAATAATATTTTTCAGCAGACTACATTGCAAAAAGTGCCAACAGACCTTAGACTTTATTTTTTTCCATCCTCTAAGCAACAGACGGACGAATACGACAAAACTACCCTGCGGGCTCGTGTTTTCACGAAAGCAAGTATTCTATGGGTTCCATGCGAATTTGCGTGATCACAATCAAAAATATATTTTACAAAAAGAACATATACTACGGTATGTTACCTCAACGGAATATCGATGCCATATCGATGTCAAGTTTTCATTGTCTTGGTCAGTTTTTGGTTTTTTTTTCCATCCTCTAAGGTTTTTGGTAATCATGTTAACCGCAAGCATACAATTACACTTAAAAGTTGTAGAAGAATAATAAAAATACGTTACTATATAAATGGAACCCTCTGTTTAGTTCGGTACGAAGAGATAAATTAAAATGGGAGGCAATTATTTTAAAAAAGCAAAACCCAACCCTGGAATATGTGAGAAGGTCACAAGTCCGCCGCTAAATTTGTTGTGCTGCAGCAGCGAACAAGAGTGTTCTGTTCTAGGTCAAATATGCACTGTAAATGTCAAAAAATCAGGAAAACGCCATCAGTATAAGCAATCAATTATAAATAAAAGTGACCAAATTCCAAGGTCTAAAGTGTACACGTGTCTTGCTGTGGCAAAGCGACATAAATCTAGAGATATAGATGACGAAATCAAAGAGTCGGATGAAATAACATCAACATTGTACAGATTAGACAAAACATCTGGAACGAATACTGTATTAGAGAGCCCTAAGGAGAGAGGCGATTGCGCAGCGGTCGAGACCCAAACCATAAAACTAATAGAAAAACGTTGTATTCTTAGTCGAATCTCGTTTCCGAAGTTAGGATTTAGGAGTTTGTGCTGCTATAGCGGATGTTACGATAGACCTCCTAGCATACATAACGCTGATTCCTTTGAGAGTATCGATATTACCACACCACAAAGCCATAAAATCTCAACATTTGAAGGTGCCGTTTGCAACATTGTACGACATAACAATAGTTTGAGTACCGCAAAGCGCATAAAATTTAATGTAAAAGTTGCGCAGATCCTAAACAAAGTCACTTTACAGAAATTTCGGAAAACTTCCAAAGAGTTACTAAAATCATTTAAAACTTTTTCGTATGAATGTAATGTTTAGTGACAAGCGACGTGGCGTGGGTTGGGATGACAGGTGACAATACACACATCAAACACAACGTAATTTGTTTTTCTCTAAAAATTCCCTTTAGACCATAGAATGGGAACATAACAAACAATATGGAGGTCTTTAACTTATCATCGTATCGCAAGTTCCAGTTAAGTATAATATGCCAATATCCAGCAGCGCAAGATGTGAAGCAAAGGGAAGATACAATGCATCAAAAAATACTTCGACACATAATGGTGCAATATCCACGGTTTCGCGGAAACGAAATAAAACCTCTACACGTCAAAATAAAAAAGTTACTAAGGACATCTGTAGTAAGAAGAAGGTATTGGTAAGGCAACAACGGCATCCGCTAAAATTATTATATTCGTCTAATGCCGAGAGTTACATGAGCACAGATACAGAATGCAGTAAAAATCCGAGGGCTGGCTCCTTATGTCCTTTAAAAGAACGTCTTGCGCAGACAAAAAACACAAGTAGCGTTTTGCGGCGCAGAAATAAAAAACCCAAAAAAGAAAATAAAAGTGTGAAAGTAAAACAAGAGTCTAGTACTTACTTGCCAAGAAATAATAATTATGATGTCCTAAGTCAATAGGAACACAAATGGAGCAACTTCATTACAGAAAGACGTAATGAAATAATCAGTCAGTACGACGCCAAACAGAGCCAAGAGATAATATCGCACATACTGACCAAATCCGTTTCTAGTAACTTTAATGCTTTAAATAAAACAACATGCAGTGTCAATAACTTGAAAAAACCCCGAGGAAAGCACTGCAATGTTTTCAAGATTATGATGAACTCCATGAGTCGTAAATTCAAACACAAGAATTCTGGACACAACCTAAAAAAGCCTAATGATGTAATAGTATTACACGTGCCCAAAAAATTTAGCAATATTTCAGTTGAGGCCACAACGACTAGAAGATTTATTACGCCGACATCTGTAACAGCTACAACACCAGCCTCAGAAAGAAAAGAAGAAAAAAAGAAATTAAAAGAAAAACCAGCGAAATTTCAACCCCTCAAAATAAGAGACTCACTCTCAGAAAAAATGATTTACATCAATCGTTTAACGAAACCACCGAACAAACTTTGTGGTCGTGGAGAGGTTTTCGTGCATAACCAAAAATAGGTAAACTAGGACCATCGTTGCATAGCTTCAAAGAGTCACAGTTAACAGTATTACGATCAGTGTACGTAAAGAATTTTTGATAAAACCTACAGATTTTCACCACAACCAAGCGATGGACGAATGGGTAGAAATTCGTATTTATAAATAACAGATTTGAAACCTTTAAAAATATTTTCCAGGCTGTATTGAAGCTCAAGGAATCTGGACGAGTACGGCACGTGGGAGTGTCAAACATGAACGAGAAACAACTTCGGCGTTTGTGTGGTGTGGCCCGACCAGCTTGCCTGCAGATAGAGGTTCATGCACTTTGCCAGCAACCCAGGCTGCTTGCCGCCGCCAGACAACTGGCCATCCCCGTCATCGCGTACTCACCACTCGGCTCTAAAATGTTGGCAGAAGTACTCGCTTCTAAGACTGGGTAAGCCACCCTACCAATATGCAATGTTATTCAATCAAAGTGCAATTTTGGCCATTGGTATGTAATACGAGTGAAATTAGTCAATTTGCATGGATGAAATAATAATAGTTAGTACTCATCCTTATTTGTTAAATAGGCACTCTAAAATTGTCTACTTGTATATTACCAGTCGCGAGTATCCAGATTTACTGCAACTGCCTGTGGTGCAGCGCATCGCAGCAAAACATTCACGTACTCCGGCACAGATACTACTGCGTCACACACTGCAGCGCGGCGTCGCCGTCATACCCAAAAGCACCGACCCCAATCGTATCAAACAGGTTAGACTTACCCTCCCAACTAACACAGTAGTCACAGACACAAGAACCAGGTCGTCAACTTATTATTTTCGAATCAGGGTTTTCATCCATTGCTCCTTTGTCGTTGTCTGTACTCGTATGCTACAGCGGAAAAATAACAATCTCCCATAAATATCACGGCTTAAATACTCAAGAAAGGAATCACTTATGGTCGTATTCTAGGACTGTACTCAATGCTCAAGTCAGGATTGCACTGGAAACACAAGCACTGGAAATACGACCCTAATGGCAGGAACTTGAGTATGATTTCGAGTGCTTTAAACCATACTTAAATCCTGACTTGAGCATTGAGTAGAGTTCTAGAATACGACCTTAAGTCACCTTTCATGAGCATTTAAGGTAATGGCGTAAATTTATCCAAACTTTACCGTTCCTACAAGGACCACCGCTGCCTTAACGACTTAAATTTTGATGATAATCTTAACAGCGAAATATGAAAATATTACATTTTGTTACAGAATATTTCGGTATGGGATTTTGAACTAAGCGAAAGCGAGATGTCGGAGCTGGGTGCCTTGGACCGAGGCGAGGCCGGTCGCATTTGTGACTTCTCGTTCTTCGTCGGCATGAATTCTCATCCCGAGTTTCCCTTTAAGAAATAACCTAACCTAAATTTGACCTAAACCAAAATTGGATTGAAATTAACCTGGAAAATACATGATAAATCATAGCAATAATTAGTTGAAAGGAAAGTGCATGAAATAGACTTAAAGTTACCAATAAAACATTGTACGGAAATGGTGAGTGCCTTTATTAACGAATTCTTCCAGTGTTGTACAATAAATTAGGTACCTAGGTACAAATCCTTATTATTGACCTGGAGGCCTGCTAAGACCTTATAATGAACAATCCACATTCCGCACGAGGATATATTTATGCTTTTGGCAGAGAATAAAGAATAAGAGAACGGATACTCTCCGCCCCTCCCTAGTTTTAGATACCGCACCACGCCCTGCACATTGCCCGTCACATTGACTGAACGACAACAAGGCTGCCGGCGAGCCGTTTTCGCGCGAAGACGGCTTTGATATTTGAATGTAGTTTTCATTTATTCATTACGAAACTTGTACGTCAATATAAAACATAATTTTACGTTGCTATTTATAATGGTCGTGAATTGTGCTGTGTACGGCTGTTTATCATCATTTTCCGAGAGATGAAACGAAGTAATTAAAAAAAAAAGTATGTCAGAGACTCATTTAGTTATTGTTTTCTTCATTTATTTACTGCAGAGTAATATATGTATGTATAACAAAATACAGATATATTGTATCAATATAATGAGACGCCATGACTTCGCGAATTTTCTATTCGTGTTGCCGATAAATATTACGTAGGTAGTGAATATATCTAATTATTAACTAAACTTGGACAAGCAATTTCAAATACCTTGGTTACCTTAAAAGTATATATGTCCGAATATAACATTTGAAGTGATTTTAATATATTTTTGAAATAAATCTTCAATATTACTCTAGTTAGTGAATTAATGAAAAATATAATAATATATCGATATAAATACTAATGGACATGTATAATCGTTAGGATTCTATTAATATAACCAAAGATAGATTCGCGTTAGAGTTTTCGCTATGTTGCCACTCTGGCCACGTAACGTAATAGTGCGAGAAAGTGATCGGTAACCCTGCCACTTCACGCCACATTTGCGCGAGTGCACATAGCGCCTTGCTGCATGTAGTAGTAGTAGGTAAATAATTTTCGACCGTTGTATGGAGTGTCCAGGGTGTGCTTTTGGTACTACAGGTAAGGAGCATAATATACACATAGATATAGGACACGTTGCTTATTCCACGTAATTCAGACGGTTATAAATTCATATTATGAATGTCGTACCTTATTTATTATAAAGTTGCTTTATAATCTACATAAGATGAGAAGAGAAGAGAGAAGAAGTTTCTCGATGCCGCACTTTAGTTTCGTATACAACTTTACCCTTTTTCAGCGTTTTGTACTCAAACCCGTCGCTGTTTCTCGTGCATGTAACTATCGGAGTTTTGGCGCTTGGATCAACGGCTATAACTTTATTATATTTCCTATAACAACTGTTTTCAACTGCTTCTTCTTTTCTCACTTGTTTGCCTTATATTTGTACCCTTTCTCAACTAATCTATTCATCGACATTGAAACGCTAACGCCGTCGGTGTAAAAACTATAACCGAAATTTCTGGGCAGGCTGAAATATTTACTGCAATATTGTTTGATATTTTCTGAAAAAAGTGTCCACGACGATGGTGTGTTCTGCCGGCAAATCTGCGTAAAAATTCATGCAGACCCCGCGAGTAGGTGAGGTATTTCAACTCGTGAGAATACACAGGAAATACATTGAACGACTTTTCATTATTTTTCGAAAGCTCGTGTTGAATATTTACTAACAGCTGGACAAACTTCCAAAAATTTTGCTTTACTCCTTTCTACACATACACGTAACATTGTTGGTGTTGAACCAATCACCGATTTCGTTAGCGCTGTACGTATTTTCATAGAATGCGTTGAAACACACTTTTCGAAAAACTTGTATCGCTTTAAGCGTTTGAAAGCGTGTGCGTGTATATTCGTCTCCAAAATTGTATTGTACTCCTTGGCGATAACCATTAAGGTGAACGACCTCAACGCTCCGTCATACATCACGTATTCAATATCTTGTATTTTTCAATAATATGATAATACCCGATGGATCTTGTAGCTTATGTTGTCTGCCTTTCAATACGTAGCTGAATTGTAAAGTTGTTGTTGGATTCTTTTTGATTAACTACGTCCTACAACCTAAATGCAATCATAAATCTCGTGGTTGGAACGATTAAGAGCGACAATACATGTCCGTTTTTTCCATCCGATAGTCGGATCCGATAGTCTGATCCGACTACCGGAAGGCGCTCGTACCATATAATTGTATGAACACTCAATACACGAGACGTGGCGTCCGAGTCGGAAATAGCGTCCGATTTTATTACCGATTGTCTGATAGCGCGCTCTCTATAGTTTTGCGGGGAGACGAAATACACGTCCGATTCTTCCCTCCAATTTGCAGCGTTGCCAATGCAAATTATTCAAATCCCCAAAAATCAAGATTATAAATTTGGGGAGAGCAAATAAAAATATTTCCGACATGTAATAATATTTATTCATTCTCAATAGTTATTATATTATTACTGCTACGCTTAAAAATATATCAAATAATTAAGAAAGTCAAAATGTACCCGTCTATTACATATACGTTATGCTATAATTAGATATAAACTCAACAAGTTGAATTAAGTTTAAACCTTACTAATTAAGCTTGACGAGTGACAAGTTGTGGTATTGAGGTCTATCCATACATATCCGGGCCGTGCCCGAGACGTGGATGGGCCGTGCTCCGTCAGGGACAAAAAAAATATCATTGCGTTTATTTTACATGAACTCGTTCACACATATCCGTATCCGGGCCGGCGCCGGGACTGGCCGGCAGTTCATACAAACTAGCACGCCCGGCCACGTCCCTGATGTGTTTGAATAGTCCTTTAAAATACCTACTGCTCGGCTTTGTGTTAAAAAAAACAGCTGTTGCCGAAACAGTTGTTTTCTTTTTTCACACAGGGGACTGGTCAAAACGAGGAAGGGTCGCGCGCTCAACACGCACCGACTGATCATCATCATCCTATTTAACAGCCAGGCTCTTGCCGGTGACTGATAATCGTAGTAATTTTACAATTGAAGATAACGTGATTCTAATCCTACTGGATAATTTTATACGTATAAGCGGTTTTCTAATAATTCTACATAAATGTAATATAAGCAGCGAGGGTGCGATGTGAAAAAAATATCAATATCGTTCGTAAATAAATAAATAAATAATGTTTTTATCAGTGATTATCAATGTAACAAAAATATGATAAAATTCTAGATTGCGAGGGCATTTTCCCCACACAGCGTAATCCAAACAAAATCCCCAAACGAGTTGTTGAGTTGAAACTGTCTGTATTTGGGGAATTCCTCATAAATTGGCAACACTTCAGTTAGTTCAGAAAAAGTCTGACGTATGAATCGGACGTGTATTGAGTGAATCCGATCCGATAGTCGGATCCGACCATCGGACACGAAATCGGACGTGTATTACCGCACTAAACCTGATGAATGTGACCTATCCATCTGGAGTTGCAATAAACAAGTTATCAGAATTATCTACATCGTGCAAATCTTTTAACATAAATTATATCAGTGCTGCTAGCCAATGATAATGTATACCTAAAAACAGGTGCTAGCTTTCAAACTAGTTAACGTAAATCTGTTTATAGATAGTTGTATCAGAACATCAATTGTTCCTTCACTTTGTAGAGTAGAGAGAGTATAGAGTTTTCTGGTCTGCTAACTATGTTGTAATAAAACTTTTCCTAGCACAAAATCATTGCTATTTGCCTTAAAGGTACCTACCTGGTTTTAAAGAAAAACTTCATTAAGGGGGAGTCGAGTTTTTGCAGATGCGGACGTTTTGCAGGTCACGACAAGATTGTCAGGGCCTTACAAAAAGCCCTTGCCAAATAGGAAGTAGGTAGTACAATTGCTTTAGAGCTAATTAGTCAATCAGAGATCGAGAATTTGGCAGAGCGTGGTACAGGCGACGACCTGTTTGTTTTCTACACAAATAAGTAATTATCGAGTTCTTAGGTTTTCGCGATTGTTACACACAGGAAATGAAACTATTTTTCCGGAGTCAACCGTGACCATGGGACCTGTAAAGGGCCCGAAACGTCGGTTTGTTTGAAAAACAAATATACGCGATTTAAATCCGGAAAAATAAGTAATTATTGAGTTTACATTAACTTAGATATGTTACACGCTTGGTAGTTCGGAACATTTTGTTTGAATGTATATTGATTTTCGTCACAGTTTATAGATTTTCCTAAGATAGTTGGTGTTCCCAGCCTAATTACCGTAGCCATTTTTGTGTCCTGAGCCTACTTACCGTACCCATTGTTTTTTCTCGCTATACAAGTAAGATGAAAACATTAACAGCCTCTGTGGCCGAACGGTTACCATGCCGGACTACCACGCAGAGTATCCAGGTTCGATTCCTGGGCCGGGAGAAATATTTGTATGGCCTACATTTATTTCTCTCGTGAGTTTGGGTGTAATTTGTGGTTGTCTATGTGTGTGTCCATGGCTCCCGCGACACAGGGTTTTCTTAGTGCGGGGCTATGTTGAGTGTGTGCGTTATTATTATTTTCTTCTTATTTATTAAGAATCAGACGTGTATTTCGTCTCCCCGCAAAAGTATGGAGAGCGCGCCTTCAGACAATCGGACCGGTAATAAAATCGGATGCTATTTCCGATAATCGGATCGGACGTGTATTGAGTGTTCATACAATGATATGGTACGGACGTGTATTACCGCACTTAAACGCCCAGTTACACGAGGAGAAAGTTTTCGCGCGGCCGCCGCGCCGCGACTGCCCATTTACGACGCCTGCATGTATGTACATTAATGGCGAATCTGAATTCTATTCACTAGGCGACAACATTTAAATTCCTCTTAATAATACAACTGCGCGCCCGGCCGCCGCGTAGACCGCATTCAAGCCAGACTCGCCCGCGCGCCCGGGACGCTCATTTAAGTTAAAACGTGAAACCTAAGTTAATAGAGCGTACTTTGCCATGACAGTTAGACACACGAGACCGCTCGCTCGGTGAACACATAGTACCTACAAAGTGTCAAGCTTGATGTGCTCTTGACTGTACACACAGATAAATCCGGAGCACTTAAGCCTTCGTTGGAGAACCAATGTTCAGTGTAAAACACTACAATATTTCTAACATTTCTTCCCCATAATAATTGTTTGAGGAATTACCCCACGACTGGAGTTAACCGTTAAAATCACCCGACTGAGAAAACATGTTATTGGTTTCATTATATTAGATAAAGATAAAGGAATAGAGATATGTAGATACAATACATATTTTTAATAAGAACAGCGATGGCATCATACTATCACTCATAGGAGGTAGAGAAATATGGTTGAAATTGGAAACAAATATTTACAAGAATGGCAACACCACCGTCATAACTATCAAATCTACCCTTCCTGAATGTGGTGAAACCAGGAAATCTAAAAAGAATCTTGCGCTTCAGACTGACAGACAACAAAACTTACTTAACTTGAAAGTCAGCCTTAAAGTTTAAGGTCAAATTGCTTATTCTATACTCGATGCTAATTCCATGTAGATGTGCGCGCCGTTTGCCACCAATGGATTAGACCGGCATAAAATCGATTGATGACGAAAATTCATGTTATTTTAATTAGGTATCAGCTTTTTGATAACTATTATTTACTATATTTCAATATAATAATTTCGTACAACTAATATGAATTACGTTTCGGTCTGCGTACATCCTATAGTAGATAGAAATAAGGAAGAACACTATTTCCCCCGCTAGATGACGCATGAATGTTGGTGCTGTCAGATTCCACTTCCAGGTCAAAGTGTAAAAGACATTGAAAATTCGCCGCAAGTACATGCAGACGGATTATTTCTTTCTACATAGAAAATGATTGAAACTATACTGTAAGTAACCCACGCACATTACATTTTCGTATATTTTGAGATAAAAAATAAAATGTATATTTCTCCATACAAAAAAATAAATATTATTTTTTTCTCCGAAACTATCAACTATTCAGGAAATTATACAAAAATAAAAGTTGTTAGGAATATTATTATGTATCATATGAAAAAATATCAGCTCTGTATTCCTAAAAACTGATTAAAAAATGCCGGAAATAAAAAGTATAAATTTTAGGCTAAATTATTATATATTATTATATAACTGCCTCCGTGGCCGAACGGTTACCATGCAGAGGTCCCAGGTTCGATTCCCGGGTCGGGAGAAATATTTGCATTTATTTCTCTCGTGAGTTTGGGTGTAATTTGTGGTTGTCTACGTGTGTGTCCATGGCACCCGCGACACAGGGTTTCCCTAGTGCGGGGCTATGTTGAGTGTGTACGTTATAAAAATTGTGCATTAAAAAATTGCAAAATTAATACATTTCTCATAAATAAATATGACAATTGTGGGAACAATTTTACAGAGCTGATGTTTTTTCATATGATACATAATAACATCTGATAACTTTTATTCTTATGTAATTTCTTGAAAAGCTGATTGTTTCAGAGATAAAAAAATTTAGTTTTTTTTTTTTGTTTGACAAACATTTTATTTTTTATCTCCAAATGTAGAAAAAATGTAATGTGTGTGGTTTATTTACAGTATAGGTCCAATCATTCTCTATCAAGAAAAAAATAATCCATCTGCAGGTACTTGCGTTTTACGAGTAAAAAAGTGGCAAATTTCTAGATGTTATTTATTTTTTAACACAATGTACTAGTTTCTACTTAACTTTCGCGTTATTGTTATAACACTCTCTAAATTACAATAAAGTTAATTTTTCTTTAGTCAAAGCTCATGTATTTTGCTAAAAAAAAGGCAATTTTGTCGCACCTTTACTTACAAAACCGCAAGTACAGGCAGACGGGTTTTTTTTTACATAGAAAATTATTGGAACTATACTGTAAGTAACCCACGCACATTACATTTTCGTATATTTTGAGGTAAAAAATAAAATGTATATTTCTCCATACAAAAAAATAATTATTACTTTTTTTCTCCGAAACTATCAACTATGCAAGAAATTGTACACGAATAAAAGTTGTTAGGAATATTAGTATCTACAATATAAAAAAAAATTTGCTCGGTACTCCACAAGTTATTTCTATGTCCAAGAATTATCAATTTGGGTCCACTGTGCGCCGCCGCTGTATCGACACTAAAAACATCAAACTTGTAACCAGGGCAGTACGGTTAGCAGGCAAATAACAAATTTCAGTGCCGCACTAACTAAAAAAAGGTCGTTAATAATTTCTTTTATAAATATATATTTCTTTTTCATGTCTTATCACTGGTAGCAACAGTACCTTTGACATAACTATTACATATATCTATTTATTTATTTTTTCAGATTATTTAGTCAATTTATTCCTAGTTTACACTTATTCTAAAAAAATATACACAATCAAAATATTACAAACATTGCTAAGAAAGTAAGTAGCAGTAGAAGTAGAAGTAGTAGTAGTAGCTAACTATTCAATCGGGCGAACAGGTTTTGTTTAACGAGTTCTATAACGTTGGGTGCACTGTAGGCGTCAATAACGGCTTTAGTGAGGCACAGATTTGACGTGAGACCGTCCACATCCTCGTCGTCCGAAAGATTATCTGTGTTAACAAACTCTCTAATATTGTCTTTCAATAACTTAATCAACTCTTCATTTGTTATGCTTGGAGCTACTTCTAAGTTGTTGAAGTCGTTTTCTAATAAAGCTGTCAAGTCAAAATCCTCTAATATGGGAGCCGACGGATCATTCTCGCACGTCTTCTGTCGTTTCGCGCGACGCGCTTTGCGTCGACTATCTAAGTATGTGTTAGCTACAGTTTCCAATTGTAGGAATAACACAGCGAGAGGCGTGTCTGAAATGTCGTCCTGAAACAAAGGGTACAATTATCATTTGTCAAACAAACGCCACACCCAATAGAATATATTACCATTTTTGAGTTCATATGTGTAAGTAAATACGTGTCATTATCAGGGAAAAAAAAAAATTGAAGTGCCTTAAGCCAGAGAACAAAAAGTAACCTTAAAAGTCTCGATTACTGTCAGAACCGCCTGTCGCCAAAACGCACACAAACTAATGAAAAATACTACGAAATCTTGATAATGATTGGTCATAGTTTCTAATTTAAAAAGATTCACAACAATTTTGAATTCTGAATTGTTAATATATAAACTTTACCCAGTCGCTATATCGTTGAAAGTTCAATTCAATACCTTTATTGCAAGTTACGACGTTTTGATTTTATATTAAAATTTTATTCATCGTGCTGTCATCTTGCGGCCATCTGAATCAATTCGATAAACAGAAAATCGAAAAGTTTTTTAAAATAAGACACCGATGATATGAAATACTACTGCGGGTAATATTTATGGTGCGGCAACCATTTTTGTACTGCAGAACAGCGCAATAAGGCAAATTTCTGAGATTTTAGATAATTTGCGCGAAGCAATGACCGCGCACAGCTATACCATACAAAGCGAAAATGGCGGACTGAACTCAAGTAAATCTTTCGAGATCTAATCTAACTAACCACTTCTGCTGTTATTGTTCTGTGGTAGACTGCAACCAACTATATGCGGTACATGATCCATATGGCAACTTAATTATTTATCATTGCCTAAATTGCCACCTCTGCATAGATCTTCACATTCGGTTCACCAGGATCCCCTAATCCAATTCCCCGGGTGATCTTGTTGAACACAGCAGCTCATCAGAATCCCATTCAGGTAAATGTATGTAAAGTTGCAATCACATTACGACAATAAATAATTACTTATATATTGCATTTTTTCAGTAATCATTATGAATTTGTCTTGATTAATT